AATGCATATAAATATGTATGTGCGTATGGTTATACATATATGTGTGTGTGTGTGTGTGTATGTTTGCATGTATGGGTATGTGCATGTGTGTGTGTATATGTACATACATATATATATATATATATATATATATATATATATATATATATATATATATATATATATATATATATATGTATATATGTGTGTATATGTATATATATATATATATATATATATATATATATATATATATATAATATATATAATATATATGTACATATGTATATATAATATATATAATATATATATATATATATATATATATATATATTATGTATATATATATATATATATAATATATATGTGTGTGTGTGTGTGTGTGTGTGTGTGTGTGTGTGTGTGTGTGTGTGTGTGTGTGTCTACGAGTATATATATAATATATATATATATATAATATATATATATATATACATATATACATACATACCAGCACAGCGAACAGCGTCCGCCTGAACATCCCAAGCGTGATTCCTGCCTTAAACAACCGCGCAAGAGACGACCCTCTTCTTGGGTTGGGGAAGTCTGGGGGTAGATTCAAGAAAGCTTCCTCTGAGCTGAGATTTCTACTTAAACTTTTGAAGTAGCTCTGACCATTCATAATACCCATTAGATGAAATTACATATAATATTAATGAACAGGGAATCTAGATTTGGAACAAGGAATGAAATAGGTACGTAATGTTATGATTCAATCTTAGTGGGACGAAAGGCAGGATGGTAAACAGTGTTTCCCAAACTTTTTCGGGTGCGACCCTAAATGTGTGAACATGTAGTAACATATCTAATTATTTTCATGGTAGTTATACTTGCAGATGTATATTAGCTTACGTTATTCTTTACTTTTATAGGTTTATATTACCAACACACTGAATTTTAATAAAGTGTTAATAAAAGACATTAACTTTAACTGCCACATCTCTGGATTCATATATTCTTCTTTTAAGACCCTTTGGCGACCCTCAGAAAAGCCCTGGTGCCCCTCACTTGGGTCGAGACCTTGGGGTTGGGGATCACCGTTTTATAGTATAGAGACCAATTGATAACATTCTTTTCCTACAACTGTAAAGATTGCTTGAAATCCTTTGCCAGATCATTATCTTTATCACAGTTATTTTATAGTTCTTATCGATTTTACCATCATCTGTTGCCTGTATTATTACGGAGAACAGAACGAATAGCAAGAATTATATTATTTTTGTGTTGTTATAAAACACCTGCCAAGGAGTGAATCAGATTTTAATGGTGATCTAGACTGGAAAGAAATGGGCATTGTCTTCTATGTGTTATTGTGATTATTATTACTCCTATATAATTACTCCTACTAATACTTCTGTTGTTATTGTTACTATGAGAATTTCATTATTCTTAGCGTTACAATTAACAAAACAGCCCACATCAACGTATCTAAATTTCAATATCAGAAGCAATGTTATTATTATTACCATCATCACTGCCATGATTATCATTAACAATCAAAGCATCATTGATTTTAGTCATGTTGTGGAAAGCTTGTTCTCTCTACTGTTGTTAGTTTTATCATTATCATAATCATTATGACTGTAATTCTTGTTATTATAATTCAATATTCTATTACAGATTATTGTTGTATCAGTTATTTCTAGTATACCAACTGAAACTGTTATTATCATCATCATTATTATTATTTCTGCAAGTTATCGTTGTATTAGTAATAATATAATGATGATAATAATTGTTGTTATTGTTGATGTCATTATCAATTTTAATTATAATTCATGTTGCTATTGTTATTAGTACCAACATTAGCATCATCATTATATAATCATTATTATCATTGTTATTATTATCTATACTAGTAGTAGTAGTAGTAGTAGTATCATTATTATTATTATTATTACTATTACTATTACTATTATTATTATTATTATTATTATTATCATTATTATTATTATTAATATTATTGCCAGTAGTACTGTATTGTTACTACAATTTTCATGATTAATTTTGCTATTTTTATTATATCTATTCTTGTTATTATCATTATAATATTATTGTTATCATTAATATCATTATCAGTATCATTATCATAATCATCATTATTATCATTATTATATCATTAGTAATATTGGTATTCTTATTACTTTTACTATTTCCATCATTATTATTATGATCATATAATTGTCATTACTGGTATCATTATAATAATAATAATAATAATGATAATGATAATAATAATGATTATTATTATTCTATTATAACTATTATTTTCATCCTTATTATTATGATTATCCTTTTTATTAGTAGTAGTAGTATCAGTAGTAGTAGTAGCATATTGTTGTTATTATTACTATCATTATTATTATTATTATTATCATAACTATTTTTTAGCATTACTATCATTATTATTAATATAAATATTATTATCGTTAAGATTATCAACATTATTATTGTTGCTGTTGTTGGCATCATCATTATTATT